GTAGATGGTTTTGCCGCAAATACATTTTCGTTGAGCACGGCTGCGTGTCCTGAAGCTGGCGATTTCTGCACAGCACTGAAATGCGCTGCGCCTATCTTCATTCACACGAGAATGTGCCATGCGCAGGTAAGTCTGATTTCTCTCCTCATAGAAACGATCTTTGTGAGCACCCGCCCGACAGGATAAATGCGACACAATTAATTTTTTTTAAAAATCTATTTCAACTTTTTTTGAACATTGATTTAGGAGGGAAGGTAACTTGATCCCCTTGCGATATCAATCACTCTGAGAGCTAGAGAAAGCCAGTAATATGATCTGCAGGCCGTCCATATGAAATCAGTGGCGCCGAGTTTTGAGGTCTTGAAGTCATGACCTTTGTGTTAAAACATGCAAAACAAGGTCAAACACTGGGGTCGGTACTCGAAGCGTTTGTTAGACTCGCTATTCCATCGCATTAACCTAGAGGCCTTTTCGAAGCGGAAGATCGCCGGTGTTCGTGCTAGGTCAGCGAACGTTTTTAAACTTCAGAAAGTCAAGGTAGGCCAAAATCATCGAGACTGTTTTGCTTTTAAAGTCCAAATCAGGGTCAATAACTACGCTAGGCGGAATGCGCAACTCAAAGCAAATGATTGATCGGATTCATTTAAGGTTTGCTGACCCTGATAAAGGTGAAACAAGACATCTGTTGACGCCCCCGCGAAAACAAACTCGAAATGACCACAAAACTACCGACCTCGTCAAACAATTTTTCCAGTAATAACACGATTTGCTTTTTGCCTTGATGTCACCTTCATACCAGACCCAAGGCAAATTAAATTGGTCGTAATCCTGAAATGAATTGTGCTCTCGCCCAAAAAACCATCTGAAATGTGTTTACTTCTTTGTAACAAAGCACGTTTTCGAGACTCTCAACTGTCGCGTCGGACTAGTATGATTCCGTAGGAATTACCATCGCTGACAGCCATGGCCTGAAATTTGACCTGTCACTGATCAGTGACCTGACGAGATAACCTAATTTTCATATTGGAAGATCGGCTATTCCATTGGCTAAAGCCGTACACATTCGCGTATAGTTACGCCTGACCGTTCGGACGTTAGGTTAGAAAGAAGCATTCGATGGTTAAATCTATTCCTAGCCTGCGCGCGCGTTAAAGGTGGGAATTTCCAAGCAATGCATGCAGTCATTCTGGAGTACCGAATAAGGTGAAGAAAGAACTACAATCTGAGTTCAAAAAGATAAAGATTTCGTAGGCTGTCGTGTGTATTTGCGAGGATCATTGTGCTTGTAGATAAGACAGCAGTAATAGCCTTATTCCTCTTATAAAAACCAGGAGAATGGAGAAATAGTGACGTTTTGTTAACACATATACCTCTCAATAAATCATTTCAGTTGCATCGATTAGTATTAAGGATCCTCGGCGGCACATTCCCCCGTAATGGGTTTGCGATCGGGTGAACTGAGGGTATATTCACAGCGGACCGGACGACAAGGACTTACGCCGTCGACGTCACTCAGGACATCATATATCATAGTTTCGGCGCCTTTTGTTGTTCGCAAACACCGAGACGGCAAGGAGCCTTCGTGACGTCACGCAGAGTCTGCCGGGCGCGCAGAATCTGTTCCCTGAAATTGATCAGCGAAACAGAAATGGCATAGTTTTAGAGAGCAGCACAGAGTACAGCTTGTACTCTGAAGCCGCACAGCTTCCACCAATGGCGAAACTGTATTGTAGACGTGCGCTGTAAAACACCCTCGCTTAGAGTGCGTGAAAGGGTATTTCCCTACCGAGCCGTGGCGGCGTGGAATCGCCCCCCGTTGCCACCCGTCAGAGCAAGTACTTAAATGAGTTCAAGGGCAAGGCAATGCCTTTCATCAGAGAACTTACCTAAATTGACCAACCGGCCATGACGCGCAGGTGCTGATTGTATTACGAGGCGCTCATGTTTTATAACATCGTCCGTGAATCGCTGGCGTTGCGTCTCATTTGCTCGTGCTGCGTGTTCTGTGTTGATCTAGGCAGTATGTACTGACGCGGCGTTAGAATAGCACTCGCAGGATTTCGCCAAGATCCGCAATAATAATAATAACAATGTAATCAGTAATTGTATATAGGAATGAAGTCAATATCCGTACCCAAGACCGACTATGAGTGATAAACAGGTGTTTATACATTACAGACAGCAGAACTGTATTGTTAAGAGCGCGCGCAATGCCTGCAAGCAAGAATCTTAGTGTTTTGCATGCGCAGTTATTGTCCCGACAGCTACGGACATATAAACAGAGAACTTGCTTCACTGCGCACACGTTCGGCGAAGATTGTATATGACGTTGCGTGGAAAAGAACATTATTGATGCACTGCAAAAAAAAAACTAGGTTTACTTACGGAAACGAGGCCCGGAAGGGGGCGTGGCTCATGTCCTACAGCGTGGAATACGGTTGCGTCGGATAGCACACGGCCTACGGCACATCTCCTCTTTGCATAAGAAAACACTAGAAGCTACTAAAGCAGTGCCAACTGATACGCTACAGCTCGAGCCGCCTGATGGGTCTCGGGATGCGCCCGACCGAGTGGACGAGGGAAGCGATGCGGTGACCTGCACGGGGATGCCGGCGTTGGTCAAACTGGACGACCTACCCGGGTACGCCGCGGGTGTGCTTGGTATCACATGGCTGGTGCCGGCGCTGCTCCGGTCTGTAGGTGCTGCGGTGGGGGCGAGGCTGCCAGCAATGCTGAGGCTGCGGCACCGGACTGCTGGGGATCAGCTGCTGTTGGCGTCTGTTTAGGGTGAGATGGTGAACTCCAGGACCTGCCTGACTAAATACGTCTTTTGGATCCGACCAGGTCTTGCCGTCCGGAGGGCGGGTGCGCATGGAGTCGACCGGCTGCAGAGGTATTAACAGTGCGGCTCCGTGCGGTCGGTTATACTGCGCCGTGCTGCGCTGCTTCTGCTTAACAAATCTTCTGGCAAGAGTCGCCATGTCTGGCGAATGTGGCGCCACCTGGGATATGGGCGTGGGAACTCTGGTGCGGAGATAATGACCCACAGGGAGCTGGGCGGGTGCGTAGCCAGTTACCTCCAGCGGAGTCGATCTGTATGCCAGTAACCTTCAGCGGAGTCGATCTATATTCCAGTTACCTTCAGCGGAGTCGATCTGTATGCCAGTTACCTTCAGCGGAGTCTATCTGTATGCCAGTAATCTCCAGCGGAGTCGATCTGCATGCCAGTAATCTCCAGCGGAGTCGATCCGTGTGACACCAGGGCCAACTGGAGATCTTGCTCAGCCACGATCCTCCTTGAATTTTGCATCGCTCGCTCGGCTACACCGTTGCCTCACGCATCAGCATGGATCTGACAGAGTGTGGCAGAATGCGTAGTCGTCCGCGAAGTCGTGAAACTCCACACGCGCGAACTGGGGCTCGCCGTCAGAGCGAACTTTTCCTGGGACTCTGCCACCCGATGAAGTGCGCCTTCAGGCGTGAAATAGACTTCCATGCTCGTGCTCTTGCTGAGTCGTTCGATTTCGATCCAGCGAAATAACCTACAGTCATGAGATAGGCTTGCGAGTTAAACTTGCACAGGCTTACGCCCAGTTTCAACCAGAGCCGTTCTGGTAGGCCCCTCAAAGTCATTGGCTCCGCATGCCAGACACGGCTGTGGGTCTGACAGAAAACCCAGCCCCTCCTCCTCAGATCGGCCGACAGATTCCAGCACCAGACCGACCGTTTTGCTTTCTCCTGCGCTAAGCTGAGGTTCCCGTGACTGTCATGCAGGCGTTCGAAGATGTCAGGCTGCATCGTGGACGGAGTGACGACCCGGCTTCCGAACAGTGACAGGCCATCCGTGATGTTCAGGTTCCCTCGACAGTGGTGGAACTGGCCATTTCTTCTTCGGGATCGTCAAGTCACCAGCACATGGTGTAGTAGGTGGCCCTAGGGAGCCATACCTTTCCCATTCCCTGGGTAAAACAGAATTGTAACAAGCTTGCCGAGATTCTCGTTCTGAGCCTGCAGCCTGCTACGGAAAATCTGTGAAGTCCTCTAGAGGCCTTTCATTGGTTTGAAGTCAGTATCAAATTTATCCTGAGCCAGGACATACCAGGGCGTCTTGTCGCTGTTTCGCAATCAGACTGTTGACAAATATCATCTGATTCCTCACCAATGCTATATTGCGGCCGAGCTACCTGATATCCTCCTCACTCATCCCCCAGCTTCGTCAGATAACTGTAGGTCTCATGTGATCCGTACTACTTTTGAAACTTAATCGGTTTTCTGAAACCTAAGAGGCCAGGCGCGTTATACTGGGCCACATTCTTCTGCAACGGACGGAAGTTACAGCGGAAGAGGTTCCGGTACCCGACATCGATCGGTGTCGACAACCCTCAGCGGTACGTCCTTGAGCATAGGCATCACAAGTACCGAACTATATTTATTTACGGAAGCGAAGCCCCAAAGGGGACGCGGGTCAAGGGCGTGGGTCATGTCGCACAGCGTCAAATGCGGCTGCGTCTAAAACGCTGTCACACGGCTTACGGCGCGTCATTAAAGTTTGTGTTTGCCGCGCCGTCCGGATCTAGTGCTGAGGAGAGGATGCTTACATCTGAAGCGCTCCATCCCGCCCAACTGCCAATTTAACCGTTAATGCGTTGTCAAAGTGCGTGCACATAAGCTGATTAGACAGTTTTGTTACACTCATTCCTCATAGAGTAACCAGAAGAAAGGAGAGATAGATGCATTGATATCTCGACCACGCGCCTTTACCGAAAAGAATATTAGTAGTGTACCAGACACCAGATTCTACTGGTATTCGTTTCAATAAGGGCTTATAATCGAAATATCAAGACATCTATCCCCTTCCGCGCACCTCACCGACCAGCCTGCAAGGCCGCGTCATCAGTGTCGGGTGCGCGCCGGCTGTTATCAGCCGGCTGGAGGTGTCGGCCGATAGGGAGGCTGACACGCGCGGTCTGATCCTCTGCCGGCCGTGTATCGGCCAGATAGTGCGCGCTCGGTCGCACGGCAGGCGTCCGTAACCGGACACGGTGGCGCGCGGGCTGCAGCGGACGGCAGACGGGGGAAGGTAGCCGCTGCGCAGACGCTGAAAACACGGTCAGTGGCGGGGTGCGGACGGAGGACGGGCGCCATGGTGGTGAGAGGTGGGGTTGTGGCCAGTCAAGTGCAGTATTAGTACTGTGGGCTACAAAGTGTCTGTGTGAAACGAAACGACAAATTTGACATCACTTCGTCTTCAGATGTACATATCGAGGAGGACAAGAGAGTACTAATAGCCTTATGCCTTGAAGATTAAGCAGAGGAATGGAAAGATAGATGCAATGCTAATACACGTCTTAATCAATCACGTCCTAATCATAGAGACGGATAATGCGTGTTTTATTTATGTAGATAGATAATACTTGCATTAACTAGAGGTCAAAGTATTAGTAGTATGTCTATTTCTCTTTTCTCCTGGTTATTCCCCTAGGAATAAGACTATCAGCTATGCCTTATCCATAAGCATTCTGTTCCTCGCAAATGCACTGAGCATTTCGAGTAAGTCAACACATTATGCTTAAGGGTAATGGCCTGCAAGTTTGGCGTCAAACTGCAAGCACTTCTGGTTTTAGGCGTCCATGAAAGTTGACCCAGTGTGCTTTTGCAAAGACCCATTGAGTAGCTTACCTGTACGGCATGTCATACGGCTCTCAAACAACAGACCGTGAGATTCGCGCTTCGCTGGGGGATTTAGGGGGGGGGGGCTAAGCACAGGACGGCAGTTGCGTTGATCTTACTCAGCGCCGGCCTGGGGGTTGTATAGCACATGAGGCAGCAGTCTCGTCTAATGGATCGGTCGACAGGGTCACCGGATCGTGGAGCCAGTCATGGGGGACCACCCAGTCAACCATGTGATGGTGCCGCTCTTTCTGCTGGAGGTGGTTGTCACAGGCTGTCTGGCCGTCATCTTCTACTATCTCAAGTGAGTGACAAGTCCGATAAACCCTTCAGTCGTGACGTTTGCGGCACAATCTCTCTTCTGCTTCAATTGGTTTGGTGGAGTATACACTACTTCGTCCAACAAGATTGTTACCATTCGCCTATCAGCTACCACCTTGCGGAAGCTGAGCTGTAGGCACTGAGACAATTTTGCAGACGTTCAGGAACTAGTGCAAATCTTCCAATCAAGTGGCTCCGAACATTCGTCTCGAGGTTTTACTGGGACCGGTCAATGCACTCATTTCGTTTTTAAGTCTCTTGTTTAATAGTGGTGAAGAACCAATGCCGCCCTCTTTGGGATTTCTGCTTATTTGTCCGGAAAAGTTCGGAGCCAACCTTAGAACGCCCTTGCTTTCTTCACATCATTTGAACGCACTTCGTCAAATTTTAGAGTACGTGGCATGCAAAGGGTCGGTTCCATGGTCGGTTTCGGGATAAATCGCCAGTGAAATTTAGTAATGACGCTAAAATAGTGAACGTCACGGGATTCCACGCGATGTTGTGCGATTACAGAGTTACTGCTGTTTCCGGTAAATGAATCGTCTGCATGCTGTGAATGCATGGATGTCGTTATTGCAACATACCAGGAATAGCATGCATGAGGCGATTCCGGGACTTCAAAACGAGGAGTTTTCACTCAGTGTAAGGATCTTCGATGCATTCGGTACGTCAACGCATCTAGATTGAAGATTCAGACAAAAAATAAAGGGCATCGAGATGGAAAAGTCTGCAGTTTCTGCCGACATTGGCGCAACCGATTGAATATGCGGTGACAAGCCGTGTCGAAGGGAAACGAATGAGGTCGCGGACGATCATGATGTTCGTCTTAGGCCACCACTATGGCGCTAAGAGTAAATGCTTATAGCTTTGTTTCTAGTAAATATTAGAAACTGATGTATGCCCACGTAAGGAAGGAAGAAAAATAGCAGGGATCCTTACAGGATAAAAGCAAGAGGGGATGTGATCTCCATCTTTCACTTCCTTACAGAAGGTAACATCTGAAAAGATAATTGAATGCCAGAAGCGAGTACAGGAACGGCAAAGAGCAGGAAGGGAACACGGACCATAGAAGGCAGAACACGGACCATAACCGCCAACAGCGGACCGTTGGTGGACGGTGGCCGCTTCAGCAGGCTCCACTCAAATAATGTGGCCTACTCCCCGTCGCTTGGAAAACTGGACGCGTCTTTAGCACATGTCTAGATACGCTTTACACGCACTGTTACTCTTATGCTGCGTATATCATTGTCACAACTTCTAAAGCTTACTGTTCATTTGGGCTTTCCATTTCTCAACCCTGGAATCAGCCACGGATCTGCTAGATACGTTCAGGATCGATCATTACGGGGGTAGTTTTATCATCACAAGACCTAAATAAAATTGGCACTATCAATCTCTTCGTTTATAGCTGATTTGCCCAAAGTTGGAATATACATGTAGACATAAACGGTATGATTGATATTTTTGCGATCCATAATCTTTGAATGCTACCGAGCTCCGTGCACAATTAACCTAGCTTCTTCCATGCCTTTAGGAGACTGCAGAGGGCTACCCGCATAGCGTATGGTGGAGGATGGAGACTTTGATGTATTGGCTACGTCTGACTTTTGGTCAAAGCGTGCATGTACAATACTTGACACACACCTTAGTGCCCAGTTGAATGCCCTCTGTCCGATATGACCTCCTGAAATCTCAACAACTGGGAGAGCTGGAGACACTAAATTCATAGGGTAGATACGTGACTTCACTTGTGTCCAAAGCTGAGGCTCCAAGGCAAGACCTTTGGATCGAATAAAGTCAAGCAAGGTCAGACTCCATATTGGTGTCCAAAATGCCTCCTTACCTCCCCATTCAACCGCCTGGAACCTACATACCTTTTCTAAGCAAAAGGTCACTTGCATCCAGTACCGGTTAGTGACCTAGTTTAACCTTTAAACGCCCATTGCGACTAAAAATATACAAGATTGGTGTGAATTTGGAATTTCAATGGGCGTCAGGGATTGCATTAGGTAGTATGTTCTTGAAACTAAATGCTGATCCAGGTCATTTTAGGTCAGTGACCATCTCTGACCTTTCAGAATTTCATGGAAAATGTCTGTTGCGGCCCCTGTTACCAAGAAATTCGAAATGAGCATTAGAAACTACCTCATAGAGCAGGGTCGTCAGTAAAAAGCGAGTTGGTTTTGACATTTGTATGACCTCCATAACTCACTCAAGGTCAATGGAATTTGTCTTTATCATAAATTCAATTTTATTGTTAACTAAGAAACTATTTTATGGATGCATGGTTTTGTCTGACACTCCGTTGACAACAGATCGAACGATTCCCTAGAAATGCCGTCGTTGAAAGTCAAGACCTGAATTTGACGCCATATAGGTCAGTGACCTAACAACATCCATTTATGTGTGTGTTAGTACAACATATCAGCGACCTTACCTTAGTGCATTTAACTCTATACCAAAAGATTCAATATTCAGTTGCTTAGAGCCATACAGAATTTGGCGCGCCTGTGCCGCGACTTTAAGAAAAAAAAGCTCTACTGTTGTAGAATATAATTAATCAAACACTCCTTACCAAAATGCGGCCGGAACCGATGATTCGCATCTGCCTTCACTGCAGTTTAGATTGGAGGTACCGATAGGATTCTAATTTTATGGAATTACAAACAACTGAAAAGTGCTTGATTTGCAGCCAGATGCGCCGGGTTAGTTATGTGCTTTCAAATGTGCTGCACGTTCACCTGCAATGGTTACGGATTCGATGTTTTCACGTCTTTCTGGAAACCGCTCAGTTTTCCAGAAATCACACCATGAACTAACCGTGTCGTTTTCAACAACGTGACTGCGGCTCGCCATCTGTTGCAGGTACCTGGACAACTTCAAGGAGAAGCGGTACCCGCTGCCGTGCGCTGACGTCCAGTGGATCTCCTATCCCTACTACAACGACACTGACCGCCACCCGTTGTACCTCAACGACTCGGGCCTCTACTCAGCCAGCTTCTTCATTCCAGTTGTCACGGTAAGACATAATGAGACGCATCAAACTTCTCATGGGAGGTCGCCAAATTCACTGTCTAACTTTTGCATGAGAATATTTGTAGGGCTCGAATGTGCGTAAACACGAAGCATGTTGTGAATCAGTCAGCACGCGAGTTGATTTCACTGCTCTAAGCGAAATTATCCTCTGACGAGGGTGAAACGTCTTGCATTAAAGACTTTGAAGGTCGATGACATTAGATTTCAAATCGTTCTTTGACTAATATTTCAATCTATCCCAGCAATGTGTATTACGCGCGTCATGCAAAGGACGTGGTCTGAATGTTTTTGCTTTCAGATTGTCATCGTTGAAATCATCCACTGGTTCTTCTACGATGGGGAAAAGAAGGCCATAACCACCAATTGTCCTAACTGGACGTTCCATTACTTTACCAGACGTCTCATCCGCATTACAGGTTAGCTCGGAAGGAATCTTGGCCGCGTTGATTTGTGCGTCTTTCAAGTGAGCGTATTAAGCTGGGATGTGTTGGCGATGGATTTCATTCTGATGTGATGATCTCGCCGGCGCCTGGGGTGCGGTATCTGCTAAACTATTCGTATGAGCATACTGTAATCTCGCACGACCATGCGGTCCTAGATCATAGCAAATTTCCACTTCTTACCAAGTTAGGTATCTAACATGCGACAAAAACCTTGCATTGCGAAACTGCGTTAGAAGTGGGTGATACCGTACAAAAATAAAAACAAAGAACGGGACGTTCACGCTGCTATCAGCACTTATCTTACGTTTTAAAAAAAAAAATATTGGGGCACATATGATGGAAACGATGGTTGTCATGTACACACCATGTAAAATTCCAGCAGATGTATTTCTTTGCTCCAGCATTATAACTACCCTAAATAACATTCCTAAATGGCCTTAAGTGGCGATTAGCACTTCTGCTGAGGTTTGTAGCCTGATTTTTTAAAGAACTTCTATGGGAAAGCCTAGATGATTTAATTTCTGGCCTTTTTGTATTGCAGCAGCTGTAACAGAAATAGACCGGACACATGTGTCGTAGGACTAAATTCAGTTAAGTCACATTTGGACCTTGCTTGATCTGGCCCTGACCTTGCCAACCTATTTCGACCCGAAAATGCATCAGAGATCTTGTATCCCAGTTTCAAGGAAGGTCGGACCCGTGCTCATCATACGGCGTATAAATTTGTCCGGAGCAGCCATCGATTGTTGAGACATCAGGCGGGATGTCGGATTCGTGCCCTCGGGTGGTCTCGGATAAAGCTCACCGATTACGGTGGAAAAGCTTTCTTCGCATTTTTCAAAGTTAGCATCCATGATGCGATGTAATCTAATGTTCACCAGATGGAAACTTCACCCGATATGCTGCCTTTCGTTCCGTAGCACATCTTCAAATGTGGGACATTCCTTTTGAAAGGCAGGCACGGAGATGCTGACACGCACAGAGAAAATGCTGGCACGCTCAAAAGCTATCTGTCCGTGATATGCTTGCAAAAGTGAGTTAACTATTCGGTGCGGGGTGGTCGATTTGTCGGAGTCCACACACATCCACACAACCCCTGCATGCTCGTCTCTGGCACGTGGACTACCGAACGTCGATTGGTTTGCTTTGCATTGTGGTCCGAGTAACAACATTTTTTTTACCATGCCAGCGGCGAAAGATGGACAACGGTGAAGTTCGCTAATCCTTCAAAAAATAATGTTAACGATCGTCATTTACTATATTTATTTGCCTCCGTTAAATCGATTACACTGTGTCAAATGGTTTGCATTGTAATACTAGCCACACGGAATGATCACTTTCACACGTGTTCATCATTTTCTTTTGAGGCAACCAGCATTTTAGTATTTCTAAAATGCAGAGACTTGATCGTATTCGCTCGATTACCACTCGCCTCCAAATGTTTTCCTTTTGAAACAAGCCTGAGCCGTGGTCACAGTACCTGCGTTCCCTTCGGTTGCTGCAGCCACACCAATCAACATCGAGGGTTTGTGTTCTCCATAAAATCTTATGATGTCATAGTTTGCTATGACGTTACGGATCAGGGCACACAAATGTGGTCATTGCAGTCACTCTAGAGCTAAAATAATGACCGCAAAGACGTTGAGGTGCGGTACGGTACGCTAAAATAAGTGCATGACAGCATTATTGAAGCATTTTGCTCACCAACATGTTTACATTCAATGAAAATAGTCTACACACGCACACCCACCCACACACCCACACCCACACCCACACACCCCCACACACCCACACCACATACACACGCACACACATATATATATATATATATATATATATATATATATATATATATGCATATATTGGTGTCTACTAGTGAATATATATATATATATATATATATATATATTTCACTGGCAGACACCATTCTCGACATTTATTCTCACCGCTCAAAATGCAAAACCCACGCACAGTGCCCATTGCTACGCACACGCCACGTTTGTATTTGTTGACAGCAGAAGTGTTTCTGGCAGAAATTCATTGAATGGTACACGGGCCGAGTGTGGTGTCATCCACCTACCACAGCGAGACCGCATCGACCGCAGGCACTGTCAACGGAGTCTGGCGTTAGACAGACAGCCATGGAATGTGTTTGCACAGATAACGGAGCGGTGACATGAAAAGAACCACTACATCAGGTACTTCTTGATCCGGATGTGCCCAATCTTTCCTATCAGATGGCCGTCTATGTCGAAAATCAAGTGCCGAACAAGGCTAAATGAGAGTGATGACTGTAGCTGAACGATGCGTCATTAGATATGGCATTTTGTGCGCTTTGTTCGGAGAATAGATAAGAGCTTGTAGCACATCGGACTACCAGGGCTGGAGATCGTTCTCGAGACATGGCAGTCCAGAATCTAGGCGTTTGCACTCAAGCTCATCTCAATTCACCGTTGCCACCGTTGGATCAATGGCCCAACATGTGTTTTCCGATTTCACCTAACCAAAGCCGCAATGAAATTCGAGGATAAGCGCTGGCATTGCGCGGCCCTTTTGAACAGCACTTATTGCCAACCTTGTTCCGCGCTGAAGGTACAGCAACACTTGCTTACATTGTTTATAGCAGTATTTTCTAACCCACCAGGTTTGGCATTATTTTGTGGCTCGGCCTGCTCATGCAGTAAAGCCTCAATGTTTCGGCATGTGCTCTAAACAAACTCACGCAGCGAACGGTAACGAATATAGACTAATACTAAGCTTTGAGTTTCGTCTAACTGGGATGGTCTGCTGTCATATGGTTTAAGCTGTTGTAACTTGTTTTTTTTGCGATTTCGTCACCCATCGGCCAACAAAAATGTTCAGTTTAGTCACCGATCATATCCGGAAAATTGGAATTTTCGGTCCCTGCATCTTTATTTTGTGCGTTTCAGTGCTGTTTCAACCTAGCCTTAAGTTATGATATAAGGCAAGAGCTTTTTTGGAATCAATCATTTGCTGGGATAAACACCTTCTGAATACTTTGCCACTTATTGTTGGTGAACACTTAACGGACGCTCAAAAGTTACAACAAATAAGTTAAGCAAGTGATTAAGTCGGGCTCATATAAGCCAGGTTTCAGCTACTTCCATCTAGTGAGGTATGATGCTTCCGAGACTTATACTGACGCAGCTTCGTACTACTCTCGAGTCACTAGTTCGCCAAATTGGACACCATGCAACGGAACAAGTTGTGTTTGGCTAAGTGTTTTTGTCGCAGATCTATCACAATCCGCAATTTGCACATTCCAAGGAGTTATACTAAAATCATGGCAAAGTTTGGCGCAAGTCATTATGTTATCTTACCACATTTATGGTCTTTAGTTGTCTCGAACGTATGTTCCTGGCGTTACCGGACATAACATAGGTTTTACTGTAATCCAAGGACAGCTGATCCCCACGCTTATGATAGCAGATAAGTGGAAGCTCCGTGTAGCCAGTGCTCTAAGACTTTTTGCGCAAAGCTACACTCTACAGGGTGCTGTCGCTGATATCGTCATTTTTTACGTGTTGTGTCATGACTTACTGATCTGGGTTCACCTATTTTTTTCCGGTTTGGTTTCATGGTAGTTGATTGCATGACCTGCATGACGTGACGTCATAGGTTGTTTTAACGTAGTGGTTGGTACCAGAAAAAAACTCGATGTTCTTAATTGGTCTTTTCATCCGTGTGTTAGCTTTTACGATACGCGGGGGGAGGTCTAAATCGACACCGCCCTGACAGTGACGGCGAGTTTGATTGGTGCGTAGTGGCGACTGGGTTCGATTCAATAAAGGCAGCCATCGATCTCACAGCGCTTCAATATCCCAACGCATTATCGCGGTCGGCAGGTACGCTCCTGTTCGGGATGCTGCTCACTATGGTGCTCACCTTCACACTCAAGTACGTTTTCGTCGTTCCGCGGCCGCACTTTCTGCAAGCCTGCCAACCGAATAGCAGCGCCATCTCTGCCATCTGCGGTGGCGACATCTACACGGAACGTCTCTCCACGGCGGCCACGTTCACGCCGTCGTCCGTCACGTGCCTGGCGGGCGCGCACGCCGTGGACGCCGCGCTGCGCAGCTTTCCCTCAGAGCACGCGGCACTGCCGGTCTTCTGCGGCGTATTCCTGGCGTGCTACCTGCACCAGATGGTGTCGTTCCGGCGCCTAGTGACGGTGCGGCCGGCTCTGGTGACGCTGGCGCTGCTCGGTGGCCTGCTGCCCGGAATCGGCAGCCTGCACTTGTTTCGCTGCCGCTGGTCTGACCTGCTCGCCGGATACCTGCTCGGAGCCGCTGTAGCCTTCTACTTGGTGAGGAGCAGTGAATCCGCTGTTGTAAAATGGTATGCATTAGTGTACGAGTTGTGGGGCCATCCTGGTGACTCATTTTGGACTCTGCGGCTGGGTGTCCACGGCACGCGGTAGGACTGAGTGTGTTTAAAGGCCTTAAGATTGCATGTTCTTTGGGAAAGACGCATGCATAAAGTTAGTAGATGATTGTTCGCAAGCTTGTGTACATATGGTATAAAGTTCACATGGCAAAGCTGCGTACACCAAAGCTCGTACGCATAGTTTCGAAAGCATACATTGTTCCAGTGCAAAAAAGACATGCAAAATATTTGTAATATCAAAAGCCCTTCGAGGCAAAAATTTGAATTGAACATGTCCGTGTGGCAAAAGTATGTACGCACTAGTTGATAAAAAGCTTTACATACGCCAATCAATGCTCCTTGCGCATAAAATTCATTCACGGGAAGGAAGTGCGCAAAAATCCGCAAAGTTCTGCCGGTAATTGTGATGATGTTTTTTCTTTGTCCGGTAGACAGAGATCACTCTGCGCCGGTTCGCGGTGGCAGAGCGTTCCCAGCCGCCGGCCACCCTGCTCAGCCTGTCGCAGCCGCTGAGCTCCGGCGTGGCCAGGAGCGGTATCAGCGACGACCCGGAGGAGAGGCTGTTCCAGTCGGCGGCGCTCGAAAGCGGAGGGCCGCTCGGTATTCCGCGCGCCCGGCAGCCAGCCAGGGTGAGGCCGCAGCCGGTCACGACCGCGCCGCCCGGCCAACCAGCGTACTGGAAGTAACCACCTCCCAGCTATCTCCTAGAGCGTCATAAATCTGGATTTTGGGCAGGAGAATGACAAATTTTAAGCGCGATTTCAGGCTCTTAGTTGTTTATCCCTTTCGCAATTTCGGTTTCCTCATAGAATAGATGCATGACGTCAACGTTGCCACAAATTCCTCTTCGTTATAAAAAGGACAGTTCTATACCAACCCATGATTCCTTCTTAATATGGAAAGAACATATTATGTTCTTTAGCGAAACAAAGTACCGAGACTATTCATTCCTTTTTTTCTGGCCAGAGCTCACAGAAAACTTCACCAGAAATCGGTCGTAAATTTGAGACTTCGTACGCTTCCATGGAGAGGTTTTTCCTGTTTCCACCTTCCAAAACCGAAGGGAAACGGGAGACCGAAATGACACCCAGATTTGTGGCTAAAATTGCCAAGAACTGGCGATAAGGACCGCACGAGGAATTCGTATGTAACTGATTTTAATTTTTTACGCCGCTTAAGACCAATTTCGAAACATTCACTTGGCTACTTTTGTTGCAGCACTCGTTAAAATAGCTGGGATCACTAGTTGGGGGGAAACCTTTCGTTTCTAGTTCATCGTAGGTGTCAAAAAACGGCATTGTTGCAGGCTTGAAATGGCTCAGTATGATGTACCAATTGTGCAGAAGACTGAAATTACACCAAGTCTATGATAGTTCTCCCCCCAGTCAATTGGTAATTAAAACTTAATGGCATTCGAGGCTGCCAAAAAATGTTGTTTTTTTAGTGCGAGCGATCCCTGCACAGCTCATCGAGATATTAGGCGGCACAAGTGGTTTATAAGACTGCGGTGTTGAGAATGAGTGAGAAATGTTTTAGTCCGGCTATTGCCAGTTTGTCAAAATTCAGTATTGTGGGTGGAAATGATAGCCTTTGCGGAGGATTTTGGGCCCCGGTTTTGGTTTCTTTTCGCAATTTCGGCCTTCCATTTATGGATATCTTAAACTTGTTGATTTCGGTCCCCGTCGGGGGTTACGCAAAGGCACTTTGTTCTCCATGACACGTTTTACTAAGGTGATTTCGACACATTGACCAACTCTGAACGCCACATCACGTGTAGCTGTCTGCAGGAAGCTTCGTGGAAGGATTGAAACTTGACTTCAGACAGATTCGGACAGCACTGGAAATCACAGATTGAATCCAGAAATGTTTAGGATAGACACAAGCTGGATGCAGCAGAGACAGAGCAAATTAACGTATATAAGTAACACCCCCTTCTAACTTGGTATATTATACATATATATATATATATATATATATATATATATATATATATATATATGTGTGTGTGTGTGTGTGTGTGTGTGTGTGTGTGTGTGTGTGTGTGTGTGTGTGTGTGTGTGTGTGTGTGTGTGTGTGTGTGTGTGTGTATGTGTGTGTGTGTTTGTGTGTGTGTGTGTGTGTGTGTGTGTGTGTGTGTGTGTGTGTGTGTATATATAAACTGACTATAGCAAAGGTTTGTTTTCCAAGAAAGAGAAAACCGCATTGTATGGTATTGTGTGTTACGTGCCGGCATATCCACTGGTATTGGTGTCTATCAGCACATCGAGGTGGTAAAACCGCTTGCTGATTAGGAAGCAAAGATTAAAGGATGGCAGGATGGGTTTGGATAGGATGTAAGGATGAGAGGCTAAATATAAGGGACGGGACGAGTTTGGGACAGAATTGTGCGGCCCGGGGCCGTAAATCGCCATCGTCAATCGTCAGCCATAAAAGGCGCTACCTCAACAGACCGGAATTTAATGATAAGTCTCAATGGATGAAATCAAATTAAGCATGAAAACTGATATATGGTAGAGTGTTGATTCTGCCTGAGTTTTATCATCGCTTTCCTGATCAAAATAAATCGAATGAAGTACTTATCTCATGTTTAGTATCAAAAACATTCTATAAATGCCTCAGCATTTTCGTGAATCTTGAGAATAGCTTACTAATCAATGTGATAAATCTTAAACTTGGGAAAAATTATGTGAAAAACCAACAATCAAAAACAAATTCGGTGTGTCATGTAACCTTGGTAGCAACGTAGACATGCCACCTACATTTGAGTTTGTGGCAACACACTTAACCGTAAAAATTATTACGCACGTCTGTAAGTGCGGTTGAGTGACGCCATAAAACCTTTATCATCACTATATTATTGTACCCCGCACCTGCGACTACCTGACAATCACCACAGGCGTCAATTCTCTCGATGAGGCCCGTTAGCCTCGATCCCGTCATCATTCGGGCGGTCTATTGGCTTTCATTCTCGGACCATGGAACTGTCCTATCGTAATCCCTCGGATAGATTGCCCAGCTTCAAATGACTTCGGTCCAGATTGATCGCGCTCTTTGGATTAAGCTGGCGATGAATTTATTTGGAGGTGTAGGAAATTGTTTTCAGGGTCTAGCCGACCGGATTGCAGCAACTGTCACTCGTCGCTCGCGAGCAGGGGCCGGGTGCAACAGTCCGTTCGCGGTCACAGTGTTAGCAGGGTTTGGATCGCCTTCCGGCATATAATTGATGTCATTTACGACACTAGGACGGCTGCTGCAGTTTGACGTCACTGGGCCGCGTGGTAGATTCCTAGCCCAGGTACACCCTGGTCGACTCCAGAGAAGCGGGCAACACGCTCCGCCGCGCGCGGCGAGCCGTTCTGCCGACGCGTAACCTGGCGCCGGTCGGGGTCAGGGCTCCAGGCGCGCTCCGGCTCCGCTCGGTCGGCCTGTCACCGTGGCTCCAGGCGCGTCCCGGCCCCGCTCCGTCAGTCTGTCGCCGTGGCTCCAGGCGCGCTCCGGCTCCGCTCGGTCGGCCTGTCACCGTGGCTCCAGGCGTGCTCTGGCCCCGCTCGGTCGGCCTGTCACCGTGGCTCCAGGCGCGCTCCGGCTCCGCTCGGTCGGCCTGTCACCGTGGCTCCAGGCGCGCTCTGGTCCCGCTCGGTCAGTCTGTCACCGTGGCTTCAGGCGTGCTCTGGCCCCTCTCGGTCAGTCTGTCGCCGTGGCTCCAGGCGCGCTCTGGTCCCGCTCGGTCAGTCTGTCACCGTGGCTCCAGGCGCACTCTGGCCCGCTCGGTTAGTCTGTCACCGTAGCTCCAGTCGCGCTCTGGTCCCGCTCGGTCAGTCTGTCGCCGTGGCTTCAGGCGTGCTCTGGCCCCGCTCGGTCAGTCTGTCACCGTGGCTCCAGGCGCGCTCCGGCCCCGCTCGGTCAGTCTGTCGCCGTGGCTTCAGGCGCGCTCCGGCCCCGCTCGGTCAGTCTGTCACCGTGGCTCCAGGCGCGCTCCGACCCCGCTCGGTCAGTCTGTCACCGTGGCTCCAGGCGCGCTCCGGCCCCGCTCGGTCAGTCTGTCACCGTGGCTCCAGACGCGCTCCGGCCCCGCTCGGTCAGTCTGTCACCGTGGCTCCAGGCGCGCTCCGACTCCGGTCAGTCAGTCTGTCGCTGTGCGGGGCCGGAGCCGAGGCTGGCGGCCGACGTCGGGCGCGACCCGAGGCAGGCCGCCTCACCGCTCAGCACCGACGGCCGCTTCCCGCACGCCACCGGCCTCGTCCCGACCGGAGGCGGGCGGCCGTCGCCGACCGCGGCTGGGCGGAGTTAGCGGTCACCTACCACTGGGCCAATGCCATTGGCGGCTACAGCGTTCCGATTGTAAAGACGGAACGGTTTGCTGCGCCAGTGAGCGCCGCTGATTTGACTCTGGTCTGGCGCCTCTGCCGGTCAGCACTGATTGATCGGTCCGGGCACACTGAACAACAATATTGGCTGTATCGGTGTTGTACCGCCGCTGTTGGGTCCATCTGAGCGAGGCCATTATCGTAATCCCGTGTGCTGCGCCACTTTGGCAGCCGTGCGATAACAGCCTAACGTGAGAAGCACCATAATGTATCCCTGTATCAGAATGGCATGCGTATACGGCGTAACGGTCTGCCAATCCATTTAAAGGGCATCACCGGCGTGTCGGCAAAACTCTCTCCCATCCCTACCTTGCTGACTCCGTTCTCCACCGTTAGCGCATCGTGGGCAGCTAGAGACAAGCTGACAGCGCACACCAGACGTATGCCCGTGGGCCTGATGATGAGCTCGGGAGCCTGAACGCCATTCGTTAAGCGCCAAACAGCGCTTGTTAACCCATGCTACCATGTTACACCTAACAGCCGCAGCCAGTGTAGCGTGAAAGAAGAAGACAAATTCGCTTTGCTTCTGTACTATACACGATTTTCTCTGACTGTCAGTAGATTGGAGAAAAGTGATGCCGCGCAAACTGTTCCCACAAATGCAAGCATTAAAAAACTACGCTTGTCTTGAGCAAGGCGGCGCCAGTATCTAAAACAAAAGCATTGATTGCCTCCCGTAGGTTGGGTTTTCTTAGGGTGGGGCCGTTTAGGTTGGAGTTTCTTTGACTGGGGTTTCTTGGTTTGGGTTTTTTAGGTTGGTATTTCTTAGAATAGGGCTTCTTTTCGCCTTCTATTTTGAGATTTGTTTTCCGCAGATGCTATTCAAATGAAGAATCCATACCACAGTGTATTGCGTTTTCAATACGTCGTATCATATAAAACCATTACCATTAATGAAAATAAAGAGATGGTTAAAGAATGTATCACAGATGGAAAGACGTGGCAATATACGCATTATAACTGATAGCGAATGGGAAGTGGTCGGACATCGTTTGTGGATAGGTGGCGAATTAAATACAGAAGATTCCAAACGCTGGGTCCTCCGGCCTAATCTGTCAGCGAGTCAATCGTGCTGGAGTCGTCTAGCATTACTCTGGCTGTCGGCCGGGTGCAGCTCGTCACACTCGTGATTATCAGCACCCTGGCTGTCCGCCGGGTGCAGCTCGTCACACTCGTGGTCCATCAGCACCGTGGCTGTCCGCCGGGTGCAGCTCGTCACGCTCGTGATCCATCAGCACCCTGGCTGTCCGCCGGGTGCAGCTCGTCACACTCGTGGTCCATCAGCACCGTGGCTGTCCCCTGGGTGCAGCTCATCACACTCGTGGTCGATCCCGCTGGCTGCAGCTTGTCACACTCGTGGTCTTGCTCGTCCCCAAAGTGCCCGATGTTTTAACCTCGGACTTATGGAAGGCTTCGCGTGCCAGCGACCAATTTCGACGGACTTGATCCGATGGCTTTCTCCGGTGAGCGAAATATGGCCACAAAGCTTTTTTCTGGCTGGTTTAGTCGATTCACGGTTTTAAAGCTATTCGAGTTTAAAGACGACGTTGGCTAAACACCTAGCTCTAGCACTACCGAGGCGCACTGCAATCAACATCTGATCGACAGTGGGCACAATAACTTGACTTCTGTTACTTTCAGGTTTTCGAAGCTGCAAACAAGACGTTCTTCCCGTAGTCTTCTGGCGGTTTTGTATTTCATTCCCACAACGGCCAGCAAGTTAAGCCGTGACGAGATTATCGAGGGAAGCAAATGCAGCCAAGCTGACCAGTTTAGTGGATCGCAGGACCACTTATGGTGTTTGGTGCCGTCGATTCGCAAAAAAACGGGCTCTTTAACGTTGGTTGCGTCATACTTGCACATTGATACATACTTTTTATTGATTTTTAGTGACATTGGTGGCATGTACCATGTACTGCGCGTCCCTGTCAAAGTGTTACGTAACGTCACGTTGAGCTGAAAGTCCAAAGTAACGTTTTCAAGGGTATCGCTTTCGAAAAGGCAATGGAGCAAGCTTTCCAGCTTTATGTGTTATTCGCTACAAGTGTTAACTCTTCTTTGAGATGAAACATGGTTGATTGTTCATTTGTGGCTATATTTGTTATTTGTGCTCGTTCCGCTCGTTGGTTTCCTAAATCTCCCGACAAATCTTGGGGAATGGTCAGATTCTACCGTGCGTTGTAATGCCAGTGCCAGAGTTCTTATACTAGTGTGGCGTTGCCTAGTCGCACTCTGGTAAAGCTACTGTATGAATGTGGATACCGTGTGTGCTTTGTGTTCCGTTGTCCATGCGTGCTGTGTGTCTCGTTGGAGCCCTGCTTCCCGTGGTTTCTTCACAACTTGTTTACCCAAATCAGCACTACTGATGAGCGCAACGGCTGAGCATGAGCACCGCCTTGGTCACGGCAATTTGCGTAGCGACGCGTGCGGTTGCTGCAGGGGACGTGATCGACGGCCATCTTTCACGATCGGATCGCCACATCATGTGTGTACCGATGTGGAGCGTACTCAGAGTACAGCCAGGTCTCGACAAACCGACCAGATGTGTCACGTGTGATCAGCCTGGCTGTTAGAGCCGCTGTAGTACCTGGACGGTGCCTGGAAGCCGCGGTAACTGTAGTCGCGGGATAATACTCGTAGTCGTCACCTATCGCACAAGGGTGTCAGATCGGGCAGATGTGCTTAGCTAACTTCTTTCCTCAATTTTGGTTTCAAAACTCATCATAACTTCCGTTTAAACGTGTATTTTCGGGCCCAGCTTCATCTGTAATTACTTGACTGACACCAAACTTATTTCGGGCCGCATTAAATCAAGAAATGTAAAAAACGTAATGCACGCAATGCAAAGATGTGTGTTTCCAAGAATCGGAAAAATCCTAATACATTTTTTGTACAAAGTACGCTTTCAGAAGAAAAAATAATACGGCAAATTTTGCAGTGCTGCATTTCCAGTGACTGCACTGACTCCGATGCTGAGCGTGGCCCGTCTGTCGCGTAAGAGAACCACTTCAGATGTGCTGGGCAACCGCCAGCCTACGACGTAAGAGAACCACTTCAGATGTGCCGGGCAACCGCCAGCCTACGGCGCAAGAGAACCGCTTGAGGTGTGTTGGGCAACAACCAGCCTGCGGCGTAAGAGAACTACTTGAGGTGTGCTGGGCAACAGTCAGCCTACGACGTAAGAAAACTACTTGAGGTGTGCTGGGCAACAACCAGCCTGCGGCGTAAGAGAACTACTTGAGGTGTGCTGGGCAACAGTCAGCCTACGACGTAAGAGAACTACTTGAGGTGTGTTGGGCAACAACCAGCCTGCGGCGTAAGAGAACTACTTGAGGTGTGCTTGGCAACAGTCAGCCTACGCTACTTGAGGTGTGCTGGCAACAGTCAGCCTACGACGTAAGAAAGCTACTTGAGGTGTGCTGGGCAGTAGTCAGCCTACGACGTAAGAAAACCACTTCAGGTGTGCTGGGCAACAGCCAGCCTGCGGCATAAGAAAACCGTTTCAGGTGTGCGGGGCGACAGCAAGTCTGCCACCGAAAACAAAACAAGTGAAGTATATTTAGCGACGTGAGCGAATTACAAAATTACGAAGTTAACAAATTACGCACTTAGGGTCTTCGTCTGAACAGTGCAATACAATTTTTCAGCGCGGAGCGTCTTCATCTCATTTTAATTGACTTTTGCCTATGTGTACGCACGGCAGGCACTGCCAAATTTTATCGTGCTCGTGTGGAACATTTAGTTCGAGTCAGCCCGTGCCCTCAGTGGCCGTCCGTAAATTATATTACCATTGGGAAAAGGAGGGGATTGATAGTGGGCAAAAAAGCGTAACAAGGAGGGATGGGGAGGTCTCTTACAGTGTAACGTTAAGCCCAGGTGTGACGTTAAATTACGTTGAAATCTTTAAACAACGGCTTAAAACCCCAAAGTCAAATGTTGGCTTCATTACATGACAGGGAACACGCTCGTCATTTGCTCTACATTTCTAGCTCAACCGGGGACCAAACAAACACTGCTTCCTTGGGACGCTACGCCTAACACAGCGTAACCAAGGGAGGTGGGTTTTTGCCCAGCATAGCCAGTGCGTGACCAAGGGGAGGGAGGATTTCAATGATAAAAATTCCTCCCTAATTTATGGGCAGCCCCTCTGACTGCCACCAGCCTTTTCTGAACATAGTGGGTAAGAAGAACACGCCGACAAGGATGAGCCCAGCATGTACTCTTAACAGCAACCACGCTTTAACTAATCTTCCATTTCCAGAAAACCAGGCCCGAACAAGGACAAATTCTGGCATTTCATCATTCCGATACCCACGTGGTCTCCCTTTAGACGTGGTCCTGCACCTGACTCCTTCCGCTTCACTGGACATGGGTCTGCGAGAGCGCTCGAACCCTGGCCATTCACTGTGACAAGAGAGGGTCTAGTGCTGCGTCGCACGCTGTGTCCTGACCATTCACTGTGACAAGAGAGGGTCTAGTGCTGTGTCGCACTCTGTGTCCTGACCATTCACTGTGGCAAGAGAGGGACTAGTGCTGCGTCACACTCTGTATCCTGACCATTTACTCTGACAAGCGAGGGACTAGTGCTGCGTCACACTCTGTGTCCTGACCATTCACTGTGACAAGAGAGGGACTAGTGCTGTGTCACACTCTGTGTCCAGACCATTCACTCTGACATGTGGGGGACTAGTGCTGCGCCACACTCCGTGCCTGTTCGTAGGACGGCACGCTGGTGGGGGAGTAGTGCTGCGCCACACTCCGTGCCTGTTCGCAGGACAGGTGGGGGACTAGTGCTGCGCCACACTCCGTGCCTGTTCGCAGGATGGCATGCAGCCCAGGTTTGGGCTCGTCTGTTACTTGCTATCTTTTAGAAGAAATGGCGTAGTCCTAGTGTTGAACCAAACGTGCATAGCTTTAGCTTTTTAGTTTTAGTTATTTTTGCAAACTCGCACTTGGATACCCTACGGTAATCGTGGGGCAGGTATTTTGGAGCCAGGCATGAATGGTCATCTCCTCGTAGACCGGAATCATAACGAACGCTACAAGCTGTTTTAGAATATTGATGGTAAGCGGTCTTTCAATCCAAGATATCGGATAGCAGAGCCGGTGGTCAGCAGCGGCATTCGCTTAGAAATCTGCATTTCGATGACGAAGAGACATCAAAGAGTAACGTGTTGAAGGTCTCTTGACTCCGCTACTCCTTCCCTGACTCTACTCATCCCCCAGTCGCACTCCTGACACAGGCGTTCGCCGCCCCGGGCCGACTGTCAGTCTGCAGCGACGCCACCGGAAGAGACGTGACGCCCCGCCTCACCTGGCCCCTCAGCTGACCCAGACTTTGCCCTCCCTGACGAATGATCCACAGTTGCCCCTGTCACACCACCAAGGCGCCGACCGGCCTCGAAAATGGGAATCAAGGAGCACGGACTCGCAGAACGGGTGCCCATTTGCTTCGTGCAGTGTGTGTGTGTGTGTGTGTGTGTGTGTGTGTGTGTGTGTGTGTGTGTGTGTGTGTGTGTGGTGTGTGTGTGTGTGTGTGTGTGTGTGTGTGTGTGTGTGTGTGTGTGTGTGTGTGTGCGCGTGTGTGTGTGTGTGTGTGTGTGTGTGTGTGTGTGTGTGCGTGTGTGTGTGTGTGTGTGTGTGTGTGTGTGTGTGTGTGTGTGTGTGTGTGGTGTGTGTGTGTGTGTGTGTGTGTGTGTGTGTTTGTGTGTGTTGTGTGTCTGTACCTTTGCGGGGGGGTGTAAGATGCTGTCTATCTTTGTGACCTTCTAACGATAAACAGGTCATTGGCCTGATATAAAAAGACAGAGGAGACTTGAAATTAGTTCGTTGCAGTTGGGGGCTTGTTTGTTGGACCGTGACTAGAAGCGAGCACTGGTGGCCACGGAAGGATCCGGTGCAGGCGAGAGAACTGCTTCCAACACAAGTGTTTTGAATGTTCAGCCATGAAATAGTGATATGGAAAAGCAGTGCAGCAGCCGGTTTGCACTGCCGTCTGTCAGCGACTCGCGGCCTCTCCCCATTTATTGTTACCTTGAAAAAGCCGTGCCCATTCTCACATAGACTACAGTACCAGCCATTGGTGTTGCGACGTTTTGGGTATTCTGGTTGGTAAGATGCGACTTGAAGTTACTATGTCGCCCGTACCAGTTATTTGAATGGCTTAAAATTAAGGAAAAAATCCTTTCCGCGATGGAACGGGTGAGGGAGGGAGAGGCGACCCACTTTCAACAAGACATGGGCACGTTTCCCAGTTGAAACAGTAACGGTCAGATTCCTAATACCGAATAATGGGCTCTTCCTCCAGAGCGGACTTTTCTATTTCCAATCTATCCCGGTCGGAACTGTCCGACCTCCGTGGTGGGCGCTAGCGAATTTCGCATCAGGCTCCTCGGGCTAATCGAAACTGAGCTAGGAACGAAGCTGGTGAATCCTCCCAAATTATGTTAGTGAAACTTACCGTAAACTCCATGACTACCACCTCCTGTGCCGGGTAATGTAACATAATGTAATGTAATGTAACATGATGTGTTATCGGGTAATGTGCTTTGCACGTGACTTTTGCACAGTCAGTTTCGAGTGAGGTAGAATGTGTCGCTATAACATAGTTGCGCACAGAAGTGATGAATTAATGATGATGAATTGATCGCACACAGAACTGATGTTATGTCTCAATCAACACCAAACTAGTGCTGAACGGCATCGGCACATCCGAACAAAGAGAAAATAAGTGCAATGCGTGTGTGATCACTCGAGAATTGTTCAAGATATGCAGCTGAAAGAACCTTAACATGATCGTGTTATTAGGTCGACGGTTTGCTTGTTGTCGTATTCTTGATTCAGGTTTAAGTGCGCTAAATTACTTACTTCTTACTTCACCGAGTGAAAGATCAAGTAGCAGTAAGTACCCTCTCTAGTAACTAAATAACGTAACATAAATTACCTATAAGCGTTCTAAACGCGACATTGGTGCCACATGGCAAAATAATAAGCCATGTGGCACCAATGAGAGAGTATATTCGCTGCAAAAAGCAGCGAATATACTCTCTCCGGTATTGTGGTACCGAGAGGTGGTGTCAGCAGAGAAGGATGGACCGGCACGGGACAGAGGACAGGGCCGAAGACATCGCGGAAGGATAGCTGAGGATACGATCAGGGACAGACCAAGTCGTAATCGCAGATGGCGGGACAGAAGACGGAATCGAGGCCAGACTG